AACAATAATTTCTCTAGTATAGTAAATATAATAGGATGTTAAGAGTCTTCACCAACAATTGAGCAATTTTTCAATTTTCCTAGCATTTTACAACCTTATTTCAGCTCAAAGTGCAGAAATGAAATGTCTGTGATCATGAAAGGAATCAACTTTTGTGTGATAACTGTTTCTGATTGGAGAATTATATTTCAATAACTTTCATGGTTTCTGTAAAGCTAATTTTCCATTATACCTCTCTAGTAATATAACACAAAGTTTGCAGGAAATAAAGCACTACAGAGCAGTCTGATATGTCAGCATCTCAAAGCAAGTACATGGAAAATAATCACCACAAGCTCACTTTTTTATATTTTCTAAATTTGGCTACTGAAGGCAAAATGATGATAAAACTACAACAGGGAACGCAGCGAACATAGCTAGCACCAGTAATTTAGTTTACAAAACTTCAAAAACCGCCTTCAGAGTAAGAGATAAACTTGTATAGCAGAAGTTAAAATAAATCCTGATCCTTTGTGTCCTATACTTCACAGTAACCACATAAGGCGCTGATATGTGACTGCTACGCTGATATCTTTCTATTTTACATGTGTTTCATCTGTTCTTCTTTTATACAAGAATTAATATTCACCAGTGACTTGGTAGTGATTGTAATTAATAAGTTTGTGATGACTAATTGGCAAAATGAATATCAACTAGTTTATTTTAACTTGAAACCAAGAAGGTACGAGTATGTTTAAAAACTGCCTATTTTGTTTCACTAGACTTGAACCATTATAACTTTTCCTGTTTATTGTTTAAAGTAAACACTTCAGCCATATCATTCTGAAAATGACTTCTGTATTTCCAAATTGCTCTTCGTATATTTTTTAATGACGTGTATTCACTATAAGCGCAGCAGGTCTTTAATATTTCATATATACACTGTTTTCAGCTACTTAAAGTAGTTTTTTTTACATTTTATTGGTTTCAACTGTAGGTTTTCAAGTGACTTTAATGTAAACTAAAAACAGTGTTACAAATAATAAAATTGGCTTGAAAAAATAAGCTAAAATGTCATTTATTGCCATCGGCAAGTCAAAATTAATTAATTCTACTCACATCAGTGGCAAAATGATTAATCTGAAGAATCCTGAGAAGACTTTTTGTTTGCAAAAATGTCTACAGCTATGTCACTAAAATCTTAAGATTTGAAAAACTAATCAATTCGCAGTGCTCTTGTAATAGGCCTTCTTGATTGAATAAACCATATTTATATTAGCTCCAGTACTTAATTCCATAGCAGAGATGATTTGAAAGTACCGTTTGTCTGCTTGAATAATAAGCAACATCATTTCATAGTTCGGTAATAATCAAGAAGAAAGCTTGCATCTAGAAACTAAAAAAGAGGCTTTGGTGAAATCATAGTTATTTATTTAGCCTCCTATGCATCAACTATTTCCGCTCTCGGTTATGATTATCTTGAAACAAAAGGTCAATGTATATGGCACTAAAAAGCAAAAACGGCTTGTTATACAATATATAACGATTAAGAAAACTGAGTTATTATTTAGTAGAATAGATGAGCGATAAGCATAATATGGCCACTTTATCCAGAGTATCAGTGGCATAAGTTGTTTCATAAATGAATTCAGGAACTTTAAAAAACTGCTGCTGCAGTTCTATGCTCACATTTTGCATGATTGACAGGTAACTAAAAATCATCAAAGATATAATTGAAGAAAAAACAATATTTTGAAAAAATAGAAAACTAATAGATTAGACTGAAAATATGTTTTTACTGGTAATCGTGTTATGTGAAAATAAGACTCGAACAATTTTAAACCCATAGGCTCAAATTTTAGTATGAATATGTAATGCTTGTTGGGAATAAGTGAATAAGTTCAAAGCAACATTCACGGAGGACTAAGTGTAACCTAAAAAGCTTTTTTATTAAGTATATATTTTGGAATCAATATTCAGTGTATGCAAAACTACTCAACCCATGCTAAGAAATTTCACCATGGATCTCTATGGAAACTGAAATATTTAGACCACATAGTGTAATCTACTCAGCACAACAATTAGTGTAATGGTGAACCTGCACGTAATATACTGCTAACTGGCATTACATATATATATATATATAATTTCTGATCAAGCAGTTTCTGTACTTTCCCCTCATAGTTTCTGGTTAGCCTGATGATAATTTTTAAGTTACTTGTTTAAGTGAACCACCTAATAATGGAAACAACTCACTGAACAGTTAACAGGTATTGTTTCAAATACTATTGATCTCAATGAAGGACTTTTGAACAGTACAAACTTAGTTTTGAATGGAACTCTCAGAAACTCACTAGTTTATATGATACTATCTAATGACAAAAATAGTACAGTGGACCGTAGGCATTTCAGTTATGGTACTAAAATTCGTAAAATTTATTTGCTAAAACAGTTAGAATTTAGCGTTGAGATTTATCTTATTACGGATCACAAACTAAATTGCTTGCTAAATTACTGTGCAGTAAAAACCGAAAATTTAAGGATTCTGATCAATATAGAATAACAAACTGTTATCAGTGGAAAAAGTAGACAAAGAAATTGCAATCAAATAATAAGTAAGAGCTTCATGCACTAGGCTGTGCTCAATATCTAACACTAACTAAAGTTAGTATTAGCGGTGCTAAGCAGTGAAGAATTATGAGTATTTCATTCTTGGTGGAAATCGCCTGATCACTTACTTTGGTAAACAGTTATTTTGGTTTCAGAATTTTTCAAATCCTATTTCTCGTAGTTATCGCCACTATTTCCTCCTGGGTACCTTAAGAAACTGGTATGTAATCTGCTAGAAGAATAGCTTCAGCAGATTATGTACTATGAAACTAGTGGTGTCTCTTATCACGTTTTACATATGATTTATTAGATATTAGAAACTTCACTTATTTCAAAATTTCTTTAAAAACATTTGGATCATGACAGAAACGTGCAGTCAGTTCACTGATCGTAACGATTTTATTCTTATAACACAAACAGGTTATTTCTAAGTGAGCTTCCTTTTTGTGTATTAGTTCAAACATTACCAATGCATCGTATGTGTTTGCGAAAGTGCGTATTTTTATTACAACAACCCAGAACCCAAGTTTTGATTGCACTCTCAGTTCTGAAAAAAACTGTTTATGTTTTGTTCCTTAAGACAGTGATTTATTGACCCATCAAATTTTCACTCACAAAGAAAGCAGAACAACCTATTCATATTTTAAATACCAATATTCATTGTTTGCAATATAGCTTAAAGTAAAACTTAATAATATTCACATTTGTACACAAATATGCGTATTAACTGTAACACAGTATGGAGAAATAGATATATTTCACAACTAGCCTTACTGACTGGTAATTTCTGATATAGTAATACATTAACATATATATTAACATTATTGATCGGTTAGTTGGTTTAATCACAAGCTAGTTTCTTACCACGCATATATTTTCTATTTTTAAGATGTATAAAATAATGATTTACATTTTAATATGCATTGCAAAACAAGAACCACTCGTTAAATTATCAAAATATCATTTGTTAAAAGTTGGATTAATACAGAAATACTTTATATTCAAAGTTTCAATATTTAAATAAATGCATCCCAACGTCATCTGCCTACAGAAACCATTGAGTTAGGTTATTCAGCTTGAGAAACAAAATTATTTTAATGATGATGGCGAGTATCTTTTTATCAACAGTACTAGTAAAGTTGAGTCACAATCAGCCTTGAAAATAAAAAATGTACTGCATATCTTAAGTTAATCAGGAATGCAAGCCGAATACATTTGCGGCTAAATCTAGAAATAAACATATTAAATCCACCACTATCATGATTATATCATATGCTATAAATAGATAGGATTATCAAACTGTCTACTTGGTTGCATTCCTGTCAACATGCACTATGATTTCATTTATTAGGCAGATTTGAATATTACTGCGTTGGTATATAAAGTCATGTGAAAATATTCCATCATCTTGATGAATGTAATCACTGGTCACGTTTTATAGTCTAACAGTTGTCTGTTGTCTATATGAATGACACATAATCATTCCTTACTGATTGAACAGTCAAACTTATCACTAAAGAATCCGAAATTGCTTCTATATTCTCAGAATTACAATATTTTAATAATTAGCACTGTAAATTAATTTTTGGAAATACATGGAGTTGTGATTTGATTGGGATTTGTCATCAAAGTAAAAATTTGCTTTACATTCAAGAATTTAGCCATATATATATATATATATTTCAGAAAATGTCACATTGACCACTGGAGTGCACTTATTTCTAGAGATATCTATACTAATCAATAGATCTTAACGGTATAAGGTTACGTGATTTTTCATTGTATCGGCCTAAAAATGCATTCAACTGCAAGCTTTTTGATAGATCAAATGAGTTTAAAAGCCATATAATAACTAATGAAATAATTAATCAGATTGAACTAATATAAAAGAATAACTTGAACATTGTGTTAGTGTATAATTTCACATTAGTTTGTTTATTTCATAGTTCACCCAATGAAATAGTATTATTTCGCAAATGACTTTTCTGTTATAATTTATTGTTCATATTTTTATCACCCTTGACATTTGATACCTCATTGTGTGAAGGACATTAAAGTTTCGATGAACACAATTTTAAAAAGATAGCCTTAATCACATTTTTTGAAGAAATTCTTCGAACATTATGTATGTAAAATAAGTTAACATTATAATTTCGTAATGTTAACAGTTTAAAATATTTTACAAGATTCCATCTTCTTTTCAAATTACCAACGAATTAGCATATTTTCTTAAGCGAACTTAAAATCCAGTTTCCAAATCTTACAAATGATTTAATTCTATTGTTAGAAGAAATTAAGTTGTACCATTTGATATTTAAAATGATACTTATTCACATTAAAGATACTTTGCTTTTCTAAATAATGCATAAAATTGTATTGACACAAGTAATATAAACTATGTCCACTTTCAGATTCTTTGTCTAGAGCATGAGTATATGAAACACTGGAAATTGTTCAAAGGTAAGTAAGCAATTTAAATTTCATGTATAACTAAACTTTGACTTTCATAAACATTTAGATCTAACTTTTTATCCTTTGGCCATTCAAAATATTACATCAAAGTAATAAATTAATGTTGGTTACTATGAACATATGCATTTCTGAATTGAAGGACGTCGTATGACAAGTATCACTTAGACCTTTGAAAGAACACGTTCGTAAAACTAACCCTCATGAACAATATACTGGAAAGCAGAAATACTTATTGATGATTATACGTTAGTCTAGATTTCATCAGTAGCCATACACCTTATTCACGACTCGACTTTCACTTCGAAAGTTGAAAAACTTTTTCAGCCTCATATTTCAATGAGGCAATGCCAATTAAAAGGTTATGACGGCGAATTTGAAAACTGACCAAAAAATATATTAAAATATATATATAGTTAATTTCACTAGCTTATGAGTTTCTCAATATACAGGAATTTGTAATTTTATACGCAACAACTTACAAAAAACTCAGCCTAGAAACAAAATTCAACCAAAAGCCTCAAACCACATGATACATTTTTGACAAGGGTTTTTGCTCGAGCAGATTGTAATATTTCTGTACAGTTTGATGTTTCTGTGGTAGTTTATTCCAGAAACCAAGTATCTGTCTTTGGCGATTCTCCTGACTTTTCTTCTCTATATATCTGATCATATTTAGTACATTTCGGCGACGTATCACTGTTAAACTTCATTTTCTTTATATCTGTTTGTTGCTTTCTGGTATGTTGAAAGATGGCGTTTAAATGACACTATTCACTTGTATTAAAACATTAATTGGTCTTGACGAACTTTATTATGTGAATTTCTACAAACAGAAGCATACCTACACCATTTACAAGGAATCAATAGCAATCAATCCATTTGTGTCTACTGTGATGAAGACCAGGTCATCATTAAAAGACCAAGCCACTGATTTCTTGTCGAGTATTTGTGGTCTATGCATTCGAGTGACTATTCTGGTTTGAGGTGGGAAAAACAAAAAAATCAGAAATTTTCATGAGAAATTTGCAGCATCCATCCTTGAAAAAAGTCTCTCTAAAATCCCTTCCAGTGGAATCATTTTACTAATGTTCGATTTATCCTAGAATATTCTTTTAGTATCATAATACTCTAGTCATGAAGTCACAGATGCATCTCTGGCGTGTAAATTGAATGTATTTATTCAAAAGTTTTCGATACTTTTTTCTGAACGAATAAGTAGGAAATTATCATTTGACTATCTGAGATAGCTGTAGTTTGCATACTATTATTTATACTGGGTAATGATTGAAGGTGAGATGAAAATCTGGACCATAGCTGCATTCGAAACCGCGACCATCGGGTTACCGGCTCGGTGCTCTACCAACTGAGCTACAAGGTCCGACTGCTAAACCACAATTTTATTTCACTTCAATCACCAACGTTTTTGCCCGACTACCATGTGATTGAAGTGAAATAAAATTGTGGTTTAGCAGTCGGACCTTGTAGCTCAGTTGGTAGAGCACCGAGCCGGTAACCCGATGGTCACGGTTTCGAATGCAGCCGTGGTCTAGATTTTCATCTCACTTTCAATCATCACTCAGTATAAATAAAAAATTGTAGAAAATTTGACGAATGGCTTCTTCGGGTGGTGGATTCAGTCGAAACAATAAATCAATTTCTTTTTGAATAATTTTTTTTCCACCGAAAAGCTTTTCTACTATTACCCTGATAACTTCCGCAATGATGAGTTGAAAGGCTAACGATTTTATTGATAATGTTTCCAACGGAACATTACAGGTGCTACTTCCCATTTTTCAGATATATACTGTAGTACAGAAATACAATTTTGGAGGGATTAAAAACGTGCTTAAAGAGATTTTACTTGGAATTGTCCTCAATCAGAGCCTGTTACCACTGTATCAAAATAAAATCTAGAATTTGTTAATCTGGAAGATCGTACAACAAAAGTAGTTGAACTGTGGCCTTGTACTCAGATATGATCGGAAACTCAAGAATGCAACCAATATTCTTGATAACTTCTAAATATAATAAATCATATTTTTTTCTTTTTGTTTAAAAAGTAGGCCGGTAAATCATTTTTATAAAGTGAATGAAGGATAGTTGATGGTTAATAGCTTTGTGGAAAATGAAAATGTATGGTTAGCTGGTCGGAGGTAATCGGTAAGAGACCGTGGACCTAGGTATTGCGCGTGTTGCCACTTGTCAGCAAAGCATGTCTGCAAACTCTAGGGAACTGATGTCCCTTGTGAAATTCAAACCCGCACCATCCAGTGTTGCAGTTAGTGACACAACTACTAAGCTATTGGGGTCACGAGTTACCTTTTGCAGGATTGGATTATATACATTGACTGATGACTGGAGAGCAACCAATCTTATGTTGTCCAGTCCTGAGTGTTGATAAAATTCTGTTGAACATTTTGCAATATAGCCACCAACCGTATAGTAATTCTCAAATGAACTGCTTTTGTACATTTTTATATTCATGTTGTTAAAAAGTATGCAATTTGATTTATATTTTTTTCTCTTCAATATAAAAGGGGTTTAGAAAAAATCTTAAACAGAAAGCATCCGAGAATTTATGTTTCTCCTAGGTTGAAATCCCTAGGTATATGCCATAACATCAGCGTGACTTCTAGACAGTTTCAGTCGTAATATTTATTTATCTTCTGCACCCACACTGCCACCACATCCTTGATGAATATTTGTTCGACAAGTTATTATTTTCAACACCATTTAGGTTTTGTTGAACAATACCGTACTCTTTTGTTTAACATTATAATGAACGAAAAAACTGTACACTGTTAGGTTTCATTCAGACTTAAGAAGTACTGAATGTAATTCATGTATTTATATGGCCTTATTGATAAAATCTGCAGTTTTTATTACGGCTATTATCAAGAATCCATTTGCACACCCTAAGCGGTAATGCATCAAAGTATTTATTGACACCGAGAAGTTTTCAAATTCAGGATCACTTGAGAAAACATGATGAATCCCCTTAGTTAAATATTTCATTCTGCATGAAATTCTTTCAAAAGGTTTTCTGAGAATTTTACAATTCGGCTTACAAATGTTTTGGAAAATGAATCAAGATGGCTGCATACGCCAGATCACGTATCCAGCAGCTGAATCGTAAAGGCTTCAATCTGATGATGTTCAGGTAAATTTTTGTGCAAATGCAGAATCTACTCTAAACGTTCATTAATATATACTTTTTCTTAACTATTCTGCTTCGAATCAAATGTGAAAGGTAGCTTTGATCAACTGCGTGGAGGTTACAAACCCTGTAATTGGAATCTAATAATAATCTTTGTTGTTTTGTCACCACTGACTTTGATTCACCACTCAATTTAAGTGTCCAGATATCTTCAAATGATGTACATTTGGGTTACATTAACAGGAAATAAAAATGCGCTACTAGTTGAAGTCGTCAATCTTGTATTTCTGCAGTGCATAGAGATTTACGATGCAGTCTAAAAAAATTCATAACAGTGTAAAAGTTATAGCTGTAGTTTTTAGTCTCTGCCATATACAAGTTACTATACGTACTTCTGTTCTCGATCTAATCATTAACCTTGACTTTTTAGAAATACGATCACGTTCTCAAGGTGAATTATACGGTGAATTAACAAACATTGGTGGGACATGTGGGATGGAAGGTGGGTATAACGGACTTCAGTCTTCAGTCACAGATAGTTTATCGTCTTTATCAAAAAACAAACTCAGCAAATCTACGCTAGCCCTAACTGGATTCGATGAGTCAGATTATAATCAACCATTACGTTTCACCTCGTGTGTTAATTCTCCCCATTATAACAACCGGCAATATTTTCATGAGAATTTTGACACAACCAGTTATTTGCCTAAAATATTAGAAAAACGACCAAAATATTCCTCCCTGATGAATCTGATTCGGCATAAATCAAAAAAATCAACAAACAATTGTTCTGTACAAAATGATAATCGTCCACGTGCTATCACAACAATAGATCACAAATTGTCATCCACGCAGTTGGATAAGCAAAGTAACTTCGATTTGACAAAGACATCAATGAAAGTTACAACACTTTGTAATAACAATAACAGCTATTACAGTAAAGGATTGAGTAAATCAAAAAGTAACGCACGTGAATGCATACCAACAGATTTTAGTCTAAAGCAACAGCAAGAGATCCTCATAAAACGTTTATGCCAGATTGAAGCTCAAACAGAATATTTATCGGGTACACTAATATGTGAAGTGATAGGAATCAGTGGATCAACTGCATCATTGTCAAGAGATGTTTTCAAAATATCGCTTAAGTATGGTTCACCGAATTTATCTTCAGTATATGAATTACAAACTAATGATGAGCCACCAGATATTAAACCACTGTTTACATCAACCATACCCTTAAATCAGAAAACTGGTTTCGATGATAAGTGGACAGTTACAGGACGTCTGTCGTCTTCTTCTTTTTCTATTGCCACTTCTGCACTATCATCTTATTCCTCTAAATCTCCAACCCATCTTCAAACGTATTGCTTAGATGATAGGGATTTGAAATTCCCAGCGCAGAAATGGGATCATACTAAGCATATTTTTAATCCAACCATTGGTGACGTGTTAACAATAAAAGTAAGTTACTAATAAATATAAATTGTTGTGACATTTATGTTGCTTGCTAAAGAACTTTTATGATGAAAATCCCAAATTAAGTTATTAAAAAAAAACTGGAATATATATAAACTAAAAGTCGAGTAGTACACAACCAAAAGGAGCCAAGTAAAATGGATAATCCTTTCCGCTAACTTGTTGACCATTGGAATTTCCTGTTAACAATGTTTTTAAGCTATGTACAAAACGCAGAAGCCCATCTGTATTACAGAACATATTCTGAAGATTAATTGTGCATAACTGTGTTATGATGCACTACTTATTAAGAATGTTTAGATTCCGAATCACAAATTATCATTGGTGGCATATTGATTTGCCCAATACAATACTGTTGAATTGATCTGTATACCGTACGTTGATTTTATTTGACATACAAATGTCAAAAATTACTACCATTGCTTACAAAACTCCCGTAATGAATAGCAGTCTTGTTCACTCAGATATTTAAGAGGTGAGGAATTAAATCAATCGCGTCACTGAGTAATATTGCCTCAAAACTAATCTCTGTGATCCATGTAAATTTACACCTCATCTGGCATTTAAGATGTGTAATTTTTGATGCATCTAATTCAGAACTAAGTTTTGATTTATGAACCATTCTAGTTGCTTCTAGCCACCTATAAACAATACTTTGATTCTGTTAGTCAGTCAGTCAGCTTTAAAGAGAATTATAATTTATATCATTTTGGCTCTGTGTAGATTTTGCGATTTTATTGTTCATCAATTGGGGTATTTTCCATCAATCTATTAAATTATGGTACTGATATCTACCTTAAACACTAATTCACACTGCTATGCAGATGACATGAAACTTTTGAGTTTCAATTTTTCAGTTGAACTATAAAACTCTGAAAGGCTACAACTTTTCTTTGTCTCGTGACTTATGTTATAACAGCATGTTTTAACTGGATCTTGTTTTTTCTGATGGAAAACACTATCAATTAATCAGTAAAATGAACATTTTGTTTGAATTCCTGTTACCACATAAAACTACTTTAAGATTCAAATATTAATCGCACTGGACATACTGCATATTGTCAGTCTTCAGCGTCTTGGTGCAAATGTTAACAAAAATTGTTGTTCTCAAGAAAAAGGTGCTTTTATAAGGGTGAAGGAAAATTGTAGACACATAAAATAATACTTAACTTGTAGTTGATCGAAAACCGAAATAAAAATATAAAATAACGAAGTCGGTCGCTTGATAACACTTTCTATCAGCAAAACTAGTAATTAATGACGTATAAATAATAAAAGAATTCTAAATACTTAGCTACGCCTAGCCCCAGATATCTGTCTTCACTTAATTAAACCCGAAACAGCAGGTAGTAATATAAACAGTCATACATTATACTTGGTTGATAGCTTGGTTACGAAACCTGTTCCGGGAATATGAGGTATATTTATTCCTTCTTCTTTAGTGCTTTTTAAGTAAACCGCTCTTTGTAAAGTAGAAATTTCTTTACGCTCACATCGTGATGACGTAGGTTTGCAAAAAACTGTGGGTCAATGCAAATGTATTCGACATCAATAAACCTTTCCGTTTATGCAGCCAACTATCCAAAGAAACGAAAGGAATTTTACTCAAAGCTTATAATCACTTTGTAATTTTGACTGTTCGTTTTGATTTCTAAAATAATGTAGGCTCCTACAGTATTTGGAGGCGCCAACTATTTAGAAAATAAATGAATATCATAAGAAAGTAATGAATGAAACATTTTTAACTTCAGTACATTAGGTCTTTCAGTGAACTGATAATACAATGTCCTCGATTTCCAAACTGTCTGAAATTCATAACAAGCAAGCAAGTGGATGCGAAAAAGATGAAGCTAAAGATTGTGAAGATTTATACTAACAGAAGATTGGCATTATGCGTTGATATATTTTACTTACCCGCAGTCAGGAATAACAAAGCCAATAATTTTGATATTATTGATGGATAGTGGCCACCAGTGGAATTCAGCACGTGCGTTTCGTCTCACTTGGGACTCGTCAGCCGGATGTACTTGCCTACGAGTGAGCGATGTCGCTCTTACTAAGATTCGAAATCTGAACCTACAGGTTCAAACAGCAAAGTTTTACTCATGAGGCAACTTAGTCAAAAAAGACACTTTTTGTGCTACAGGTATAACTTATATGATGTTGTGTGCGTTATCCAGTCTCTGATTAGATCGAATCGATCAGTCTCCATTAGAATACGTGCTCCCGCATAGAGGCCTTGATATTGCGTTCTGTCTTGATTGTATTGTGCTCTCTAAGCTTGGTTGTTTAATCATGATGCTCTCATCGTCTTTCTAGACGAAATCATCAGAACTAACTTCTCTATGAAGTGAGCTGTCAATACCTCTCCGTGAGTGATTTAGTAGATTGCTCTGACAAAGTGGTTTGTGATTGGTTGTTTCCTTTGATTGTTGTGTCATTAACTCTATAGATTTTCCTGTTGGTTGTTCTTCTGCTTGACCTCTGACCTTTCTGTTGTTTATCATTTTTCTCATTGATTGGTGGGTTGGGTCTATGATCACGTATCTACTGATTGCTGAATGACCTGAATGCCAAGCTTGCAGGAAACCTCTGATATTCTTTGTGTTTCCTCTTCCTGTTCAAAATTTCTGCATTGTTGAACCTGAATTCATCTCCATAATCATCCGCGTGCATTGAGATGAGTGATGAAGTGTCGTGACGTTTAACAACTAATTGGTCCTCATGTAGAAAACACTATGCAACCAAGATCATGCACCTGAGCTACAAATACCCTCCGATATTTTAAAACCATACGAACGTAACACGCTTTAAGTTGTTCGAAGCTGGGAGGTCTCCCCAAAACGTAAGCCTCCACAAAAAAACAACTATCCTTTCTCCATGAGTGCCTACGTCAGCATGTTTTGCCAAAGTGTGTCATATATAGACCACCGATTGACTGTCCAAAAAGATGGCAAACAAATGGTAAAATTGATGGCCACAGATGCACATCATCGGATTCAGGGATACCAATCGGTGATTAACAGTCCAACTAGAAAATTCGAAATTATACTCACCAGAAAACACATGATAACGTTGACAACTGCTATTCAAAAGAACAACGAAGAAATGTCGCTAGCGAAATGCTGCTCAAAATCTCAGAAGTACTTACAACCGAGGAAACAAACGATTATGTCGCCCTCTTATCAAAACAACCACTAACATAAATGGAAGAACTTCTCCAAAAAGGATCAAATTACAACACAAGAGATGCCTTGAAAAGAGGATTTTATGGGCATTAGAATCATCACTTAAAACATCGAAATTAAATGGGGCCACTCAACAAGAAATAAGGTTAACAATCGTACCACTGACTACAGAGAAGAGACTTCATGCTCAATTGAACACTCGAAATCAGGAAACATCAAAAGGACTGACAGTAGGAAAGATTTACATATACTGCTAGTAGACAAAGGACTCACTGCGGTAGTGTTGGACAAAGAAGACTATGTCAAGGAAGCAGAGGAGTTGCTCAAAGACGAAAATGTATATCAGCACCTGAAACCAACCCTATTCAAAAGTTCGACAACTAGATTAACAAAGCCTTGAACAAACTCTTCAAAACAGAAGAAATAAAAAAACGAAGCCAAATGATGAATGAAATCGAATGAACCTGTCCATACTCAGACTTGCGACGGACCAAAACCACACAAACCACACATCCCTCTACGACCAAAAGTCTCACTTCCGGGATCTGCAAAATACAGCATATCAAGAGAATTTTCGAAAAACTGAAAAATCTCGTTCAATAATGTGGACATTCCACCATGCCACCAACAGAATTCTTAGAAAAGACCAAAAGCATTAACATAGAAAACGACGAATTAATGGTATCCTTCGATGTCACAGTACTATACACATCCATCGAAGACCAACTGGCCAAGGAAACTATGGCCCTCCTATTCAGTGAAACATAAGCTTATCAGAACGCACAAAACTTAAATGTTCAAGTCTGATGGAACCTATCGACCTTTGTCTGACCGCATACTTTCAATTAGGCGGCATGATATACAAACAGATGAAAGGAACTCCAATGGGATCATTGATATACTGAGTAATTGCAGAACCAGTGATGCAGAGACAGGTAGCCATCATCCTACCTGTGATCAAAACAAAATTTCGAATTTGCCATGTGGACGAAACTTTTGTCATCAATAAAAAGATGATGTAAAAAACATTCACAGTTTGATCAACAACGTGTTAAGTGACATCAAATTCACAATGGAGAAGGAGTCAAACAACCAACTGCAATAAATGTAGTCAACAATACATTGGACAAAGTGGTCGCCCTCTTCGCCTTCGTCTGCATGAAGATCAATTAGTTGTTAAACGTCACGACACTTCATCACTCATCTCAATGCACGCGGATGATTATGGAGATGAATTCAGGTTCAACAATGCAGAAATTTTGAACAGGAAGAGGAAACACAAAGAATATCAGAGGTTTCCTGCAAGCTTGGCATTCAGGTCATTCAGCAATCAGTAGATACGTGATCATAGACCCAACCCACCAATCAATGAGAAAAATGATAAACAACAGAAAGGTCAGAGGTCAAGCAGAAGAACAACCAACAGGAAAATCTATAGAGTTAATGACACAACAATCAAAGGAAACAACCAATCACAAACCACTTTGTCAGAGCAATCTACTAAATCACTCACGGAGAGGTATTGACAGCTCACTTCATAGAGAAGTTAGTTCTGATGATTTCGTCTAGAAAGACGATGAGAGCATCATGATTAAACAACCAAGCTTAGAGAGCACAACACAATCAAGACCATCCAGCTGATCTATAAAGATTTTCTAGTATTGCCTGATGTCTTGTTTTTTATGATATTGATGTATGGTGGCTAGTAGAGGAATCCTGGACGCGTGTTTATCCTAGTGGCAACAAATGCGCTAAGTGAGAAAGAACTGCATCCAACTTACAAGTCCTAGATGGGAT